ATGTATGTATGTATGTATATCTGTGCATATAATATTTGCATAATGCGCACACACACACTGGCAGTAGTATCATGTTTACTACGACTGCGCGTATTATTGTTGATGCCGTCGCTATTGTTGTTATTCATTTTGTTATCATTGCTGGTGTTGTCGTTGTTGTTGTTGTTGTTGTTATGTTGATCCGTGTTGTTATAACTAGCATTATTATAATTGTTATTGCTGACACTGCTGTTATTACAGTCCCGATGGTTGTCAAGGTAAATCGTATGAAAAGCTTTAACAGATGACAAGCTTTTACAATAGGTTGTAAAATGAGAACATGATGAGTGATCATCTGCTGAGATTCTCAAAGGTAATATAGGGTGGCAAACCCGAATACTCTGAACGGGTGACTTGGCAGCAGAAACTCAACGGTTGGGCTTACCACATGCCATTCAGTCGAAGAGTTTGGATAAGCTCAAGACATATCCTACATCGAATTTTAAATTATTTGTATCTGACGATAAGCCAATAGTCTTGAGAATCATGAAAGATACATACAAGGAAAAGCTCGATTCACTCGAAAAACATGGGCCTGTGTCCCGACGCACTCTCAAGAAATGATTACTATTATTCCACGTTTGTCATTGTTGCTACTAGTAGTACTATTAATACTACTATCATTATTGTTTGTGTGATTGTTTATACTAATTGCCACTACTTGAATTACTACTGCTATTATTAGCACCATTATGACTACGATAGTTACCGATAGCATTATTACTTCTACTAATATTATCATGATTATTATTTCGACATTTACTACAATTAAATTAATACGAACTGATAAGTAAACCATGTTATAAGTAGTTTGCATTATCCAGTACTATTTATTATCGTTATTACTATTGCAACTAGACATAAAAGTGTTAATCATAGTTACAGGGAATCTGCCCACTATGTGCGCGCACACACAGACAAACACTCGACACATTGGTCGCGGGTCTTGACATTCGAAGCCTCTCTGTGTCGAGATTCTAGGCTTGGCGCTTCGCAATGTGAATGCAACCATGCTCTACTTAAAGTGTGAAGGTGTCACAAGTACTCAGCCACTGAATGCTTATCCGCGATCGCAGAGAATGGATAGGTAATGTTGTTGGTATCTGCTCTATCCATGGCTCAATTGCCCCCTGCAGGTCTATAGTAGTAGCCCACCTGGCCCTTGGAGACAGAGTAGGTAGGACACATGCTCATACACGCACCCCACACACACACACACAGCAATGCAATGCGGCAGCGTTGCCAGGCCCTTGCTGCTGGACGCATTCGGAGTTTTTGGCCGTAGTGAGACGCAGGCCGCAGGCCTAGGCATAGCCTCTGCTGAACGCACCGACCTGGCGAGGAGGCGCAGCGCCGCGAGCTGCGAGCGGCTATCCGAGTCCCGAGGCCCTGGCAGTAGCTGCCACCCAATCGCCCATGCGGCAATAGGGCCAAACTTCCTCTCCCCGTTTCTGTGACCTGCACTAGGTCACGAGGCCCCAGCCCCCTGCTCCGAGCCCTCCCCTCTGGCGCATGGCCTGGGAAGGGCGATGTCCCCGAGGCCCTGCAAGGGGCTTCCACGCTGCCGGAACAACAAGTTGAGCACCAGATGACCTGAGCTTCAGGACTCAGCCTGGGGCCCCAAGGCGCAAGCTGAGCTTCAGTCCGTATTGCTGAGGCATGCTTCCTTCGGCTGCCTGTCCGTGACGACTGACTCGTTTGGAGGGAGCGGAGTTCACTTCATCTACTGCCCCCGCCTGTTCTTTCAGGTCACCTGACAATTCCACTTCAAGATCTGCCTATACATCGCACTGGTCTGGTTCGTGACGACATTCAATCCAGTCGATAAGGTGAATTATGGTGAATTGTGGAATGCAGATATGGATCGCACGGACCCAAAAACACTCTGAGTGAACGACGGAGCCTCTTCCTCAGTGTCGCGAAACCGACTGTCTACCAGATGCTAGCGGGCTGCCTGCTGAATGTGTTGATTCTTGTTGCAGCTTAGCATCTCCTCGGCTTCAGCATCTTCCGCAGTGGCATCGAACATGCTTGCAGCACCTGAAAACAGCCAGACGGAAGAAACGGCTAGGTGTCCCATCCTTTGTCGTCTAACTGTTTTGCAATCAGAGCACGGAGTTGCGCAAACGCTTATGCCGAACAAGCCCTAGCAACGACGTCACTATGGAAACCAAAGTGTGGTCGCTGCGGGATGCATACAGTTGGCAAGATCTGAATAGGTCAAGGAGATAGCCGGGACAAACTTGAAACGTGGAGGAATCGAGGGGAGCCTTTGCACATTTTCAGAATCGGGTCCGATCCGAGACACTCTTGGGGAGGTTGAGAGGCTGGCAACGTTGCAGACATGGGGCATTCAGCCACTTCCCAAAAGCCGGTCGGGTCCTCCTGCCATGTCGTGGCAGCAAACATGCTGCGGACCTTGCCAAAGAAACCCAAGCATGTCAAGGAAATCCGACTGTGAAGTCGTCCTCCAGCATGGGCAAAGACCCCATGACCACGACCTTGTCTGATCTTCTGCTCACACGAGAACTTGCACGAGGCTCAGTGGAAATATCACTTCTAAGTTCGGCACCGTGTTTGGGTCCCCTTCCCAAAGCCTCAGTCTATGCCAAGACACGAATCGGTCGAGTGTCCGTTCTCAAATCAAAGCATGCGCGTACAGACACACAGAAACACAGACACGAAGACACGCACACACACACACTCTTACTTACTTACTCGCTTTCTCTCACTTACTTACTTACTTACTTACTTGCTTGCTTGCTTGCTTGCTTGCTAGCTTACTTCTCTCATGAAGACGACATGGCAAATGCACAAATGCCAGCTGCTAGCAGAAACTACCTGCACAACAAAGCGGCTGCTTGTTATTGCGCCATCACATGGACTCCTGGATCAAAAAATTAAGCTGAGGGGCAGAGCATCCTGCATCAGCTGCGAAATGCGAGCTTCCGACTGTGCAGCACAGGCCTGAGCACAACCGACCAACACATCATACATGGACGTTTTGGGCGCACACGCTGGGGCTTTGAAGAAATTAGGTGCGCACACTCGAACCAGTTGCCAAAACGCTGCCGAACATAAAGGAAGTCCTTGCACATGAGGGTTTTCACAAGTGCGGTCATCTCAAGGAAAAGCTCATACCTGCCAACTTCTCACGCGTCTCATCTGCAGACGAAACTCCCCAGCAAGAAGCCGGACGAGTGCCTGGCCTCATGCCAAATGTAACAGAGCGATCCCTGTAAAAGTAACAACATGGACTCTCATGTCAAACTCAAGTACTTGGCGGCCTAAACTTGTAAGTTGCCGTCGCTATCCTTTGTGAAACAGACATACACAAGCGCTGCCTCATTCCAGCCACTGGTGCAAAGATATGTCAAATCGGGCAGCTGTCGAAGCCTCGTCGGCAAGTTCAGAACCAGAGACCCGTTCTCCAACTGCAAGCTGCCTGCTGATGGCTGCGAGTGGCGGCGCCCACTCCTTCGGCACCTGCAGCTCATTGCAGCCATGGTTGGCACCGACTCGAAACAAGCCCTGCCTGATCGGGAATCGGCCAGACCGCTGGCCTCAAGGTTTCAGTTTATGTGCCGTGTGGCATTAGTGTCCTGCCGAGACATATCCTCACTGTTGGCAGTGTGCAACCCCACGCTGGGCTCAGCCCCGTCTTCAGACAGCTCAGCCCAACTGTGCTGGTTCGTGTTCATGCTTAGCCTGGGGGCATCTATTGAACCTACTGTTGGATCAAACCTTTCATGCATTTGTGTTTCAAATCTGTCCCAAAACCTGTGATCTACTGTTTCGGAGTTGCCAATTTGCGAATTGTTTGTGATCCATCCGTGATTGTCTGTGATTGCAAAGGTTTGGGCTAAATTCGAACCTGTCATGTTTTCTGTGATGCATGTCTCGTTTATCTGTCCCTGTTTTCAGGGGTATCCGCAGGGTCTCATCATGCAACACCCGGTATATCTGTTGTCAGGGTGCGTTGATGTTGCGAATGTGGCTCTAGACGAAACCATAGCAAGAGTAGTGAAGGCGAGTCATGTTGCGACACCGAGGACCCCACCGATGATTTTGTGAATGGCAAGCTGCAGTCTTGTATTGAAATATTGATTTCGGACTGCAAAGGTCATCGTTGAAGGGCCTGCTAGGGACAGAGTCTTGACAGATTGTTTTGCAGATACTCTTGCAGCTACCTATTTTTAGCAGAAGGCCCAAGTCCAGGGACTTTTCTTGACAAACATCAAATTTTTGTAATTTGACAGATTGCAGGGACAAGTTTTTCACAGGTTGATTTGAGGCCTGTCCAGGGACAGATTCTTGACTGATTAAAATCCTTGATCTGCCTTCTAAATTCAAGGGGAATCGCATGAACATGCTATGAACCCGCTATTCCCCTAGAGAAAACCCAGTTTTTTGGACCGCCACGTCGTGGCGCATGGCTCTGCCGTGGTCCGGGCCTAAAGGGTCGAGCTCAGAAAGGTTCTTCAAAAGAGATTTTCAGTTTGTTGACAAGTTGTTTACAAACGATGCACTGATCGTGCATGCATGTTTCTCAGATGCCGAACCCTACAAGCTGCACGTGCCAAATAATTGACACGTGGAAACATGTAGGACACAGAATCTCCCGTGCAACACCATTAATGAGGGTTATAGCGCCAGAGCCGGATGGAGCAACGGACTCACGGGCCGTTTTGTATGGATAACAATCCGGACATGCTGACAACAACAGAACCGCTGAGCGGCTCCATTGGGACCTACCGGACCCTTCTCGGTCCGGTTTTGGTAACACCATGCTGAAGGACCGATAGAAACCCGCAGAAGTACACTATGCATCGATCACTGTGGCCCCAACCCCGCAACCCCCGTCTCCGCGATACATGAGAACGGGGCGGTGGTCCCGAGATCGGCTTGTCTCTCACGCAGTTCCAAGCTCACAACTATGCTAGGCGCACAAGGGCGTTCTTGCAAACTCCAAAACAATGACCATGAGGTCGCCCGTAGGGTTGCAGAAGACGTCGTGGAGCAGCGGCGCCATCTTGGGGTGCAACACCTCACCCAAGCACTCTCGCACTCGGCATCCTCCGGCCTGAAATGGGGTTTTATACTGTACGTTACCTATATCCCGAAATGTATCATCGCGTCGTTTCCTCGCATCTTTTTTCCGAGCACAATCACTAATCCGGTTTGGTGGCGGTAGCCACGGCCGTGTCCCATCATGATGCCAGACCCGTCCGGACCCAAGCGATGAGGTGGTGATCCGCGGCACGCTCATGGGGAGTAGTCCTTCGCAAAAAGAGTGCTATACTAGGTCCGTGGGTTTTCGGCCCCTAAACCAAAATCATGCGAAGGAGTGTTTGTGGGTTCCCGAATCTCGCCGTGGCAATGGGCCAGAGGCGGTCGACTACCCTACCCGGCCCTGCTCCCTGCCTGGGGATTCTAGGACTGAGGTTCATATTCATTTTCTTCGTCTGAAACAGCTTGAAAGCCCTGCATACATGTCATGATGTGAATCTCGAACAGCAGGCTTGATGCTTTTTGCTTTCTTTTACGAGGCCCCTGGCATTAAGGCATAAGGACGCCTTCCAAGGTTCCAACACCGCACTCCCATGAGAGCCTGGATATTAGGAGTCAATTTGGGGTTGAGAAACAAGCTCCGCAAGCCTCCACGTACTTCTGCGGAATTACAATTCACACTAGAAGTTGTTGCACGAGCTCGAACGCACCGCAAATAGCGGGCCTTTTCCGCTTACGAACGAGGGCCACATTGCAGAGAACACGTTGCCTGTGCGCGTTCTTCGAGCTTGGAACTACGTGCTCTCGGATGTTGCAAAGCAAGGTTTTGGCATTGTCAGTGTCTTATGCGAGTGTGGAGTAGTACTTTATTTGTTTAGTGCATCACGCAACCCTGTGGTTGAGGCGGGATTGATTTCCACCAGGGGAGCGAATTCACTGGCATTTGCAGCAGGTGGTACACCTCGACGAAAACGCACAGTAAAGATAGTCGCAGTTTTTTGCGGTGTGTCTTTAGAGTTGTGGGTTTAAGGTTTGGGAGTCTGCAGGTGTTCTTTCGTTTCGGAGACCTCGGACCGTATCAGCAGCGCAAGGCCTCGTGCAAGCTTCTCGACTTTGCAAGTCTCGCAGCAGTGAGACGTCCCAGCCTTCCGAGTGCGAATGTCGTCATCATATCGTCATCACAGGTCATCACCATGCCGTCTTCACCATGTCTTCATCACCCGCTCCGCCCCCCCCCCCCGACCGCCGCCCACCCCCCACCGCAGATTCCAAATGCAGCTCCGAATCCTAAACCCAGTTTGCTTCCCGGGAAACCTTTCGGGGGCCAACCACCCTCAATCATCCCATACACTACATAAACCGTAACCTCTCCCTCCTCCGCGATTGATCTTCATCTGCCGGCTCTTACGTCTCGGCACTGAGCAGCAGACGGGAGGCCACCAAGGGCAAGGACAACTCGCCGACGCAAAGCCCAAAGATGGCTGTTGGCACGCCTTGGGCCACAGACTACTTGAAAGCCCAAGTGCATCAAATGCTGATAGGGGAAGGCACCATGGCCTGGTCGTGCAGAATGTGAAGACACAAACTCTAGTCACTAGTCCAAGATAGCGAGCTCAATCCGCGCATCATGCAGACCGAATGAACTCAGGACGACTTGCGAATGCAAAAAACAACTGGAGTACCGCAATGAAGAAGCAATGCAAATGACTGGACAACTTAGATCCGAAAGACTCCTCGTGAGAGCGAGCCTGGACAAGCCGTCTGCCGTGCGAAAACGAACATCGGACAAGTCACACATGAGGGACGATGACTCGACAACCCTCATCCCACCACGCCGCCGCTCGCAGGACCGAGCAGCACCTGAAGACAGACAAAATCAAAATCCAAGAGACTTCCGAATAGGCACAAAAAGATGCAGTAGCCAATGCGTGGCAAACTAGGGCTAGGGTTCACAGCCTCGCCCGGCCTTGCAAAACCACAAATGCTCATTCGTCCAGCCACTGCCGACTTTTCATCATGCTGAATCAAACCCCCCAATGGCCCAACGACCTTGACATCGTCATTTACCCAGAACACATGCGAGGTGTCTCAGGAGTGGACAGCAAGCCCTTGTTGCAATCATCACCTCAGAAACTTGCCTATGCTCGAAAGAAGTCAGATAATAGTGCGAGCGTCTGTGAGACATCTGCTGATCTGCCGAGGCTTGTTCTCCTCCCAGAATGTCAGGGACCTCCGTCACAACGAGCAGAGTTTGAGGCAGGCCCCTGAACTGGGCAAGGCCACAGCACTAGGTAGTGAGCTCCGGTCCGAGATGAAACTCAGTCAGCTCCTGCAGTTTCCAGGCTTTGTCTTCACTTATGAGTCGCAGCCTGCAGCACACGAAAAAATCCACTCTCCTGAACACCCAGCGCTGCACCAATTACAAGTCGGCGGATGCCCTTCTGCGCGAGGTGCGCCGAGAACCACATGTCGTCCTCACGCGGCTATGGGGCTGAGCTTGCATCTGGCTGCCCAGTCTTTGAACCTGGTAGCGGCATTGCTGACAGTCGCTGTTGTAGAAATACACAGTGTCATCGAAGAAACCGCGCTGATACACCACGCCTGCAGCAACGCACGAGACTCGTACCATACCAAGTGGCCACAATGGTTCGAGCGTGAAGAAGAGCATTTCCACCACTGCGGCTTCAGGTCTTTGGGTCAGCGGGAAGGTGCTGCTCGATCTGGACAGTTATCGTTCTGCACGGGCCTAGCTTGTCCTAGCTGTCCTAGCTTCGTCTTGAAGTCTTGGGTTTAGTCAGCCCTGCCCATCCGTGGCTGTTGGTACCACTTGTACTACTATGATGATGATGATGCTGCTGCTGCTGCTGCTGCCGCTGCTGCTGCTGCTGCTGCTGCGGCTGCCTTCGCCGCTTGCGCTGCCGTTTCCGCTGCCGCTTCCGCTGCCGCTTCCGCTGCCGCTTCCGCTGCCGCTACCTCTTCCGCTGCCGCTGCCACTGCCGCTGCCGCTTCCGCTGCCGCTTCCGCTGCCGCTTCCGCTGCCACTTCCGCTGCCGCTGCCGCTGCCACTGCCACTATTATTATTATTACTACTACTACTACTACTACTACTACGACTCCTACTACCTCCTGCCTACTACCTACGACCTACTGCGGACCTACCACTTACCTACCCTACTACCTACTACCTACTTCGTACTTCCTACTACCCACTACCTGCTACCTACCACGACGCCGACCGACCGACCGACCGACCGACCGACCGACCGACCGACCTACCTACCTACCTACCTACCTACCTACCTACCTACCTACTTTCTTACTATCCTTCTTTCCTTCCTGACTTCCTTCCTTCCTCACGAACCTTACGAACCTTCCTTGCTTCCTGTCTGCCTGCCTTCCTCCCTTTTGCGACGACCGAGCGTTGTCGTGCAGCAATGCAGGCGCGTCACCGCCGACTTCGTTGCTTTGCGACTTGCAAGATTCGCACCCTTGACTCGAAAGCTGCAACAGCATCTGCATGAGCGCGTTTTTGGATAAAATACCGTGCAGCACGACAGCTGGCGGATGCTGGCACGCATTTCACATGCTGGCGGCATGGTGCACATGGCTGCACCTTCTATCACGTCTTTGGCCGAGAGGCCGAGGTAGCTCACCAGCACTGGCCCTGCTGCAAAGCCCTGATCCTGCAAATACCGTGGCCGGTCGCCACCTGCGAGGGAGCAGCTCTACGTCAGTCCAGTGTCGGGTGCACTCTCTCCTCTGCCCCTCTGCCTTGCTCCTCCATGGTGTGGAGCTCCTGCGACTCCAGCAGCCCTGGCACTGAGAGGAAGCCTTGGGCGGCTACGGCGCTGCCCGGATTTCCAAGCGCCGCTCGCATCAGTTGCTCGACAAGCTCAGGTCCTCCAGGGCTCACGGATACACGGAGAGGCGCTCACGCCACGCGCACGGTAGGACACGGCCGCTGTAAGCCCAGACACCGTAGATATGGTCGTCATCCACGACCACGAGGAAGGTCCAGGGATCTTCTTCCATGCGGAGGCCATTCAAGAGGTGGGTTCCGGGACCCAGGTCAACACAGCGAACGAGGTGCAAGGTCGGCGTGGCATCCACCTTTGCTTGCATCCATTCCGGGATGTGATATGTTTCGCCGGTCCGGTTGTAAATGTAGGGAATGCTCATGTAGATCTCCTCAGCTGCGCATGTCATTCAAGCCCTATTCAGGCACTGTCCAGCATGCTGAACACGGAAGCCGAGGGTCTGCTGGCTGCCAGCTTTGTGCAAGGATCGCATCAATGACAGGCTCCATGTGGTCAATACGGCGAGGAATGCTCGTCATCAGAACCACGACTCCTTGGGGCATACGCAAGGCAGTTGGTGTTGTCCTCGTACATCGCGGCTAAGCAATGCCCACAAGTCAAAGCACTTGCAACATACTGGCTACTGATTGCTGGGCCGGGCTCTGTACTTCTGCATCAATTGCTGAAGGTCACCAGTGTGCAGAGTGCGGGGTCTCATGTGAGGAATCCAGTTGTGCAGATCTGGCCGTGCCACCTTCGGTCTGAGGGATTGCCAAGCCAAGCAGCAGCCGTCAACACTTCTGCTTCCTACCACAAGGGCAACGAAACACGACTCACACTGCCGAGCATCCATAGCTCCAGCATCGCGCAGCCAGAGCTGACTCGCGAGCAGAGACAGATAGCTCAGATGGCTTACAGTGTAAGGCCATCCCCAGCGCATGCCGGCGCTGCCCGCGCTTCGGCACAAGGCGCTGGCCCGCAAGAGAAAAGCTCATCACGCATCGCAAGATGAAACCCCAGAAACTCTGAAAATATTGTTCTGCAGCAGGTACCATATACAAACGCTAGTCGCACTCAGAAAATAGCTTGGCAGTCATGCGCAGCTCATACACCGAGAAACGTGACCCACGGCAGCTTGGGCAGTTAAGCTCAGACTGAGGTGCGGCAACTCCTGCAGTGCTTGGCTGCAAGCGCTTGGCTTCCAGAGCTGGGCTCCGAAATGCTTTCCGGCTGGCGACACCTTTCCAGCTCACTGAGCAGTTGGCCGATGGCCGTGTCATCTCAAAAGTTTCTGCGGGATCACTGTAGGGCAAGCTACAGTGACAAAGACGTCGCATCAGAACAAGCCAGCACGGACAGAATCATCAAAGACTGCTCAATACAGTTTTAGCGAATTTGCTCGCAGTGTTACCTTCGTTCGGGGCATGACGAAGTTCCGTGCTGGCAAGCTCAGACGGCGACCCAGCTCAAGGCAGACCAAGAAGCCCAAATGTGTGCAACTCATCATAGTCTTGGAGTCTTCATAGTCCTCATAGGCTGTGCTGTGCTGACAGCTTTATGCCAGGACAAATCACATCAGGTCTGCCTTCGGGCATAATCCCCATGCTTGCGTGCTGCCTGATTTAGATAAGGCAGCACTGCAGAACGGTTACCACATGCGTGCGCTTCGCGGACAGACGTGAGCGACCTCTCTGGGTCATGCTATCCACGACTCAGCATGTGGCTGCGGCATGTCACAGCTGTTCATAGCTGTCCACTGGCGTCTTTCCGACACACCCCTGGTGGGCATTGCAGACAATCCAGCGATCTCCCTAGCGTCCTACCATGATCTCAGCTTTTCTGCTAAGATGCTGCCATTGGCACTAAAAGTCTTCGGGATGTTGAGAACCGAGCCGTGACTGAATGCTTTGATGACATTAACTGATCAGTTTAGCGGAGCCGTCCGTGTCTTTCACAACTCCTTAGTCCTTCAGTCACGCTTAGGAAAGTATCAAGCTTTGCCTCTGCGGGCCGTGATTCCCAGACACTGGACCAAAGCAGAGGCTAGCACCCTGTTTAGAACCTGAGGCTCTCTTCAGCGGTCTGCCGCGGTATCCCTCACCTTGCTGAATAGACAGGCGCGCGCCTATATGCAAACGACCTCAGCCAAAGACACAGGCTGTCGTCAATTTGAGAAGAAGAGATCTCCGTCGACACACGAAGTTCATGTAGCGCTTGCAGCATGTAAACACAAAGTTGTCGTCGTGTGCCGGCAGGATCGAGTGCTTGCTTGGCGTACGTGAACCGTGAGCCAGCTGCAGCGTCACTGATCGTAGATTAAATCTCCAAGCAATGCTAGTCATGCCAGTCCACCGCGGCGGCAGGTCAAGCAGTGTCTACAAGCTGACACAACATAGTCCCCCTGCACATACAGTGGCCGATAATAGCATGAGTCTGTTCCATTCCGTCTCTAGTTTGGAGCAAGATTAGACCTGCAGGCCGCAATCGTTGCGATTGGAAGTACCACAATCGTAGTCGGTCTCCTCGGCAATGACCGATCGAGATCACATCTGTGCCACCTGTGCCTTTTGCTGTCCAAGTAGCTGCCACGATGTCGCTGGCTAATCGGAGCCGGCGTCGGAGGTTCTTCTCTTCGGGCTTATCCGGACCTGAGCTTCGCCGCTTTCAAGTTGAGCTCAACCGGCAAGAAGAGTCAAGCATGGTACGGGCAGAGTCGCATGTGCGGTCAGAGAAAATATGCTGGGCCCTGGGTGTGTCGCTGGTGTTTGAGAGCCCTGGTCCGCTTGATTCAGCGACCTGCAGAGGAGCCGCACACGTGCAGAGCCGTTCTGCGACACGTGGAGCCTAATCTGAACCCCCCACCTTGGCCCTGTGCGGCGTGTCTGGAGCATCCAATAGCACACGCTCCTCGAGTCTTTTCAGACGAAGGCTTGCGCACCGCTTTGATGGCCAAGGCCGCGGCCAAATTATGAGGCTCCGAGATCGTTCGGTCCAGCGGCAAATTAGGGACGAGCTCCTGGGCACAAGTGCAACATGGGCCTATGAAGCAGACAGGTGTGCGTGCCTCTTCGGGTTCCAAGATGTGTTCCGGTGCAGTGGGCAATGTGCATGCTCGCCGAAGCACTGTCCTGCAATTGCAGCAGGCTTGCGCGATGTCTGCTAAACCCTCAATGCACAAGTTCCCTTTGCAAGGGGACTGGGAGTAGATTCCAAGGATTTTGGGGAGCTGGGCGCGCGCAGCACCGGTCGCCAAGCGAATTCCCGCGGCCACACTTGCATTGCAAGCGCTCAAAGTGCTTGGTGCTGTCCCGGCCAACGGCAAAGCCGCTGAGCTGGTTGGATGTCGCAGGCGCAAGCATTCCTCGCAAGCCTTTCTGCCCTCCTCTTGTTCTGCCAACACTTGACGAAGCACCGAGATCTCCGCGGTCAAGCTCAAGGGTCCGCTCCAAGAGCTCTCCGACTCAAGCTGAAAGGCTTCGAGCTGCTCTAGCCGTCTCAATTCTGCGTGCCAGTGGCGCACATCCCGGAGTAAGGACGCCACACTCTTCTCAGCTTTTTCGGAGGGGATACCATCATCGTCGCCAGACCGAGATCGCAGGGGCCGCAAAGATCGAAGATCGGCAAATTCTAGGAGCTCCTGCTGAAGCTGACGGAGCTGCGCCAAGCGCCGGACATCAGCACCGGCCAAGGCTACGCGCTCCAGGCGCCGCAGGTGTCGGAGCTGCTCTGAAGCTCTTTGCAGCCTGGTCTGTCGCTCCGAGCACTCCGAGAAAATCAGGGCCTCCAAGGCCTCCAAGGACCCGAGTGATCCCGAGTGAACCTCCATCGTTTCAAAGGTTCCCCTGGTTCCCACTCTTTCACCCGGAAAATATTCATCGTTTTTTGAGCCTATAGAAACTGCAGCTGCCTGGAGATGCACATGCAAAGCATGGCACACTGACGAAGCTTGCAGGCGATTGTAGGCACGGCCTCAAACAACATGCTCTTCTACTTGTGCTCTGTGCGCTACCAACGAGGGTGTTTGATTTCAGCGGTCCTGGGAACAAAGGCCTGCGGGAAAGCAGAGCTCAGAGTACTGTTCTTCCTCGGCACTGGCAGACTGACGCAGACTCAGTCAAGTGAATGAAGTATGCTTCACGAGCAGACAACACAGAGGATCCAGCTCCATTGGACTTGGCAGCCCGAAGGCGCTCAAATAGTTCTGCGTCCTGAGATGCAGCTACGGCTTCGAACAGGCCCGTCCTTACGTGGAGATCAGGGGGTGGTAGGTTTCAAAGGCCTTGCATCTTGATCCGACTCTGAATTGACATGCCGAGGCTTTGCACAGCTGCACAGCCAGTGAAACGCTTTTCTTGACAACAAGACCACTGCCATGGCAAGATATTTCCTCTTCTTCAGGCGCGGAAGCAGCAATCGCAGGGTCTATAGCGAGGTTCAAGCGAGAAACGCGCTCTCAGTGCCCTGCTGCAATACAGCCGAGAGAAGCAAGAAGGCGCAGAGGATGTTTTTGACCAAAGATTTGGACGGTCATGGTATTTTATCTAGTTGGAATGCATTTGAACTGCTCCCCCTCTCGCAGGCCCGCCCCAGACCACATCCCAGTGCTGCATCTCGTTTCGTGCAGGGGGAAATGTTACTCAACTCTCATGGCCGCAGGAATCCTACCGCAGCAAGGATAGCAAGGTTCTGCAAGGCTTACAATCTGCTTGCAATGGTTTGATGTGCCGGATGCTGGTGTTTGCTTCCGAAATCCGCCAATTATAGTGGAGATTGCCGCATGATGAGGCGGCGAGACGCTGACAAACGTGGCCTCTGCTGGGCTCAGCCTCATAAGGTTAGTATCCTCTCGATGACGACGACGACGACTGTAAACTGAAATTGAAAATCGCGAAACAATGTGAAACACTTCGACTAAAGAACTCGCCTTGCATGTTGCTTCGCCTGCTCAGCCGATATCCGGAGCCTGAGTCCAAGACGGACTTGGGGCAGATGGCCAAGATAGAGTCGGTGTCGGACAGGATCTGCACAGCCGCAGAAAAAAAAGTGGAGGATGAACAGCGACTGACCCAGTGACTGGAAATGTAAAGCGAAGGCAAAGCGAAGGCCCGCGGCTGGGCGCCTTGGTGTCGACTCGGCACTCGACCTGAGCGATTCGGAACCTCGGCCTCGGCCTAGCACTCAAAGCTCCGCAAGGCCCCCACGGCCTTGGTGGGTGCCTCTTGTGGGGCGCAGAGGGGCCTAGGCAGGAGGAGCGCACGGCCTCGCGCAACAGTCCTATCCTGGCACCCCTTCCTACATGAATCAAATCTTGGCACAGATGGTGGTCCGCCAATAGGTCGACGGAGCATTTACCGGCCTCAGATAGCCAGGCAACCTAAATCATGACAACTTGTCGGGGGTATCATGCGAGCATCTCCGAGCCCAGCGCGTGTAGACAGAACCAGCTGGCGAAGGCGCTTCTGACGAGTGTTGTGAGTGAAGCGGCTTTAGGACCGGAGGATGGGGTCAGTCCTGGCTGTGGAGCAAGCGACGAAGGATCCCCAAGCTCCTCCAGCCTGAAGTGGATTCAATGTTTTGCGGACGTGCTTTCTGCACAAGTATGCGATTTCAATGGCAATGTCTCGACGCGTCGTCGCCACCGGTCGCGCTATTTCGCCTACATCTGGTTTACTGGATGCATACACTTCCATGTGGACTCCAACTGGAATCCTGGAAAGCTTCCGCCCACTCCGTTTGTCAGTGCCTTGCATCCTACCACTGCTTGGCTCCGTGCTGCTCTTGGTCACGCAGCAGTGGGACAGGGCTGTGGCTTTTACTGGATTTCTCTCAAGGTCTTTGTCCCTGAAGCATGTATGAATTCGGACTTCAAAACGGGAGCCTGTGCGCTTGCTTCCAAACGACTCTCGCAGCAGAAGGCTCAGCCCTCGCTGCGGTGTAGCGGTGTAACCAAGTCCGTCAGCTCCTGAGGCTCCAGCTCCAGCGGCGGCAGTCCGGCAAGAACTCCGCGAACTGCGACCGGCAGAGGGGATCACACGACAGGACGCAGGGTTGACTTGACGTACAAACACAGCCGTCTCGGCACTACTAGTTGCATGCGCAAGCCTCTTCTGGCAGAAAAGCCGCCCCGTGTATATATATATATATATTCACACAAGCTGTGCAGCCTCTATCGATCACTGCCAAACGGACGGAAGGTCAAGCATGAGCAGACAGGCCTTGCTCCATCTGAATGCAGAACAGGTCCGATCGCCAAGTAAGCCAACAAAATGCACTAAAAGCTGCAGCGACTGCACGGCGTGCGACGGAGCATGCTATGATTTATGTCAGAATCGCTGGAAACCTGAGGGAAACGATGCGGATGTTGCAAACAAGCGAAGATCCAACAATGTCCAACATTTTCGCCTGGCGGCGGTCTTTCAGGAAATCCCTGCAGCTAATTTCAGAAAATCAAGCAAAGCCTGCATCGTGTTCTGGCAAGTGCTCAAGGGCACCCTGCAAGCGGCTTCTTCGACAGTCAGCATTCGGCGATCTCTCGCAGAAGCACGAAGACACAGGTGCCACATGACGGGATATTCATCTCCTCCGTCGCAGGGAAGCTGCCCCGGAAGCTAACTAGCACATAAATCTGAAGCATTCTAAAGCTGTTGGATGAGTCCGAGCAGAGATGCGAGCAGGCCAGCGATGTTTATTGGCTAGAGCAGACCGAAAGCGTGGAAAAGCGTCTCTGGATGCATTTTGAAAGCAGCCGGACTGGTTCTACGAATCTCCGAAGAGGCCCGGCTCTGGCGCTGCATGCTGACAGAAGGTAAAACGTAAGTCATGACTTACGAGACGACGCATAGCATAGCACCGCCCCTGCGCCGAGGCGGCTGGCGCTCGGGCCCCTACTCACGCAGCTGCAACTGCTGGCAGTGCAGACTCAAAGGATCTCCAATTGGACCAATCCATGCTCCAAACGTCCTCCTCGTGGTGCATTTCCTCGGCTGCACGAGAGCAAGCGCCAAGCGCCAAGCCCATTTTGCTGAGGCGCCTCTGCCTCACGGCCTGCCCGAAGCCCGGGGCCTGCAGCGAAACGTGCAAAGATCTTTCACCGATGCACAGAAAAGGGTACGAGAAATGGCTAGAATGACAGCTGAAGGGTCTGCATGTCCGCTGCGCTAACATGACTGCAGAGCACCTTCAAACCCCTGCACATGGCCTTGGCTGAGCACGTAAGAAAACTCAACATGCACAATGTTTGGCAGAGGCTTCGACGACCAATCCCCACGCATGCTATCCCTTGCTTTCCAGAGATGGAAGCGGCCCATGGGCCTTTCGCTGTGAGCGACTTGCTCAGCGCTTGGTCGATCTCTTTATCGAGCTTCTGCACAAGCCTGGACTCGGACGAGGCAAAACCGGGAGGGGATTTGGCTGTCCTCATGGCCCAAAGCATGACAGGCTGACTTATCTTTTCCAGCCCGCTGCGCTTGCTCGCGGCGCTTCTGCATCTGCGCTAGCCATGTTGGCGTGTCATTGAGGTCGAACACCTAAGCACAGGCTGAACTTTCGCAATCCTTTGCTCGATGCACGCCACACTTGCAGTGCCTGCCTCAGCCTTGCGAGGAGGCTCTGCTTCTTGAAGCTTTCTTGCCACCTCTTCCCTCTCCTGGAGGAAAAACTTGCGGATTCACTACGAAATCTCGACTTTAGCCCAGCGGTTCGAATGCTCTTGCAGCGAGGATGTGCGAGGCATCTGTGCTTGCACTCTCGGGCGATGCCAGAGCGAGGCTTTCATTTGACCTCCGTATGCAAAATTCAGAATAGCTTGAGAAGCTCCTCGCGATTTGTCCAATCCGCCATCCAGATTGGGTCAACGTCTTCCTGCAGGACCCCATGTGCTTTTGGACACGCTGCAGCCGGCCAGGAGAAGTCCGAACAGACGTGAAGGGATTGTGGGCATTCTAGTTGTCACTCAGATCCAGCAAGGTGATCAAAGTTTCCATGCGCCTCATCTTCCTTTTCTGCCATCTCCTTGGCTTCGTCGGCCTCAAGATGAGTCTGACTTGAACGGTCATCGGAGACTGAAGCAGAGCCCGTAGCCTGGAGGCACTCTGTTGTCACGTCCTGCATACTCGACCCAAAGCGGGGCTGGGAAAGCGTCGAAACCGCACAAAAGATCAACACAAACCTCCGGTTTCGATGAAGGATGCCATCTTTTCGCGCTCCGAAAGAATGCCAGCGAAGAAGCTGTCAGCGCAGCCACCAACAGTGGCACCTCGGCAACACAATCCGGAAGACATCGAGCCCTGCAAGACCTTGTTCGCACAATACGCTTTCCGCCACACAGGAATGCGTTTCAGCAGTCATATGGCAGACCGAACCTGCGACGGTGGCCTACCGGCCTATCGCACCTGCAGCACGTGCTAGAGCTGCTAGGTGGTACAGTGAAGCAGGCATAAAAAGTGTTGTATAACTCATGTTGCATTGGCTACGCAGGCGATGCATGTGTTAACTTACCAACATGATCAACATGTATGTATGCCAGGAATAATCTGCTAGGGCTGCTAGGACGACCACCACACGGAAAGCTTTTGCATCACATCACTTCGCATTCCCTCACTTGTAGGATTTTGTCGGCACACTTGCTCATCCGGTTTATCGCCTCGGGATGCCGAGGGCCTACTTTGCATCATCATGTGCAACTTGAGAGTCACGGGCTGGGGAGAAAGCTCAATTTTCGTATACCGGGATTTCGTCGGATTGCCGACGGCTGAGGAAATGGGAGAAGGGCTGTCATATTCGAGCGCTCGCATTCGCCTGACCATCACACTTCGGTCGCGAAGGGTCACAGACCCCTCTAGCCCATGGCTTCAGAACCACACATCGCGGACACCCACTGTTGCTCACACAAGCACTCGAAGTTTTTTCCTGCAGGTTGGAATGGGAAGCCTCTGCATGAAAGGGGTAGGTCTATCATCTTCTTGTCTCTGCCATCAATGTCTTTGCAAACAGTGGATGGGCGCAGCCTTTCTGGGCTTCTGGGAGCTGTGTGGGCTGCTCGGCTGCCAAACTGGGACCCGAGCAAGTGTCGCCAGCAGAAGGTTCTGCCGGCACCAGCGATGTGCGACTGCAACATATGCTCCGAACATCACCTAAACAAAAGGCGTCGGAAGCTGCCGGCTTCTGCTTCTGAACTCATTGAGTATCTTGAGAGCAGCGCCATAAGTATCTGTCCCATGTTGTCTCCAATCAAGCTTGTGCTGCCTGCGGTTGCAGAGGCATGTAGCCCCAAGCCGTGATTCCCTCACGACAAAAGAATTATGCTTTCTGCCAGCGGAAATCACAAACAAATGCAGGGTCCAATCCAAAACTGCCTCCTGCAGCATGCATCTTGTCCTGTCATGGTTGCTTCATCGCTCCTGCAACGAACCATCTTCACTCCATCTCCAGCCTTCGCACCCATGGCTTCAGCGGAGGGATCCACCCACCCCAAAAGAGCCGCGGAGCTTCAAGCCACAAGGAGATGCCACATTGCCGCCGAAGAGCTGACCGGCAAGACAGCTGAAGGAACTTCCCGTGTGCGATTAGCATCCCGGTCAGCCCAGCTTCGATCGCGTTCTCAGAAGACGGCACTTGCTGCAACGCCTGTAGGTTGGGTTTCGATACCCGGTGATTTTCCGGACCGCTCTGATTGTTCTTCCTTTCACTGTTGCCTAACCTTCACGGAGGCCCCCTTATGCTGGCCTGCATCCTGCAACATTTCGTTCCTCAGAAGCACTGCTTCAAATACCTGGCCTTTAAAGACTCGCCAAAAAATCAGGAAATGTCGGATTTGCCGCTCAGAACTTCAGAACTCTGCAACTGCCCTTCCAAACTGTTGTTCACCGCTGCCTTTATCCGACCTGGCACGACATGCGATTGTCGATCATAAACATAGTTTTACCAAAAAAAAGCAAAGCTGCCAGCAGAAACAAGTCAAGAGGTCGAATAGTTCAAACGCCTGCACACCCGTCCAGGATTCATTTCGAGCAGCCACTGCGCTCTAGGCTGGATCCAGCGGCGCAGGCTTTGTGCGCCTCAGACCTGCATAGAACGCATGGCGCTCCTGCCGCATCTCCTCAACAGCCGATGCTACAGCCTTGTTGTGAACTCTAAAGAACAGCAGGTGCATTGGACCACACGCTGCGAGTGGCCATTCCACCTGTGACCTCTCCCGTAATCCCTATGCAAATGGGGCTCCTTATGCTGCAAGTACAGTACAGCCTGCTAGGTTTTGCGCGTGGCTGCCGGGGAAAGCGCATGCCCTGAAATAAAGACATGATCTGGGCCATTGACTCATGATATGCCTATCTGATACCCCACGATACGCCACTCAAGATTTCCTGCCATTGGAATGTACACGCGCTGCAGACTGCTGCGCACTGCTGAGCTCTTTAGTTTTGAGTGGGAGCGACACGTGGAGTGCTGAGCAGGGTACAAGTTGGTACAGTATGCAAGCGCAACAGAGCGCAATGTAGCATGATGCAGATTTGGCTGTGCCTCCTGTCCCCACGCAACATTCCCAGGTTGAATCGCCATTCAGTGCACACACTGGCCCACGGCATCCTGCCGAATGACGTTATGCTCGGAGAAATAATATGCTGCCTGATATGTGACACCTGCTTTGAAGGAAGCTGTGCTTATGGCCGCCACACTGACACAAGCATCTTCCCATATCTTCCCGATCTTCCCGTTCGTGTCTTTCCGTTTCCCTTCCCTTCGCTCCGTTTGTGACCGGGCCTTGGTCTGGACCTGGCTGGAGCTGCCACGGCCGGTGAAATGGAACTCGAAACGGAAAGCCCCCCGCAACACATCGCGGCACCCGGCAACGGAACACCTCGAAGCGAGGCTTTGGATTTTGTGCCAGGTTGTTTCGTTCCTTTTCCATCCCTTCCGTTTCTGATTTTTGTTGGTACTGGGCTTGGCGCTTCCGGTTCCGATTTGGCTTTTCCTCGGAAGCTCAGCCCATTCCATGGCCCCCTACTAGGCCCCACTGGAGCCACTGGACTAAGTCTTGGGCCTGAGCGTCAGCATGCTTTACAAAGCTGCAAAAAAGCGCCCTAAGGGAAAGGGAAAGCTGAACGAAAGCGAAATCGACAACGGAACCTCGAGAATGGAAACGGACAAACAAACGGAAAACGGAACACGGAAGCGAGAACGGAAGGCATCGATCAAATGGAAAGCAACACAGCAAAAAACAAAACACATGGGCCTTGTTGCCGACGTTTGCCAAGCAAACATTGCAAAGCCGTGCCACAATCGGCACAATTCTCAACGGAGTTCTAACGCAGAGTGGCCTGAGGCCCAAGTTTCATCGTGCAGTTGGACCATCTGTGCCGGCAGTTTGATACCGGAAGGGTGGTTCTGGAATGATGGCTTCTTCCACCTCAGACATTTCGACAGCCGCTTCTGAAACGCGCCTGCCCAGGGACTGCTTGGGCCTTCCTGTTTCACAATCACGACCCTGGCAGCCAGCATCTCAGCCATTGGGGCACTTGCTGTAAGACCACCTAGTACATGCACCCTGCATCACGAAGCAGCATGAGCTGCTGTGCGGTCCTCCTCCATCTCCTCGTCCAGCACACGTTGATGAAACTCAGCCCATCCAGGTGGCAAGACGGCCTTGGCAAAGTAGAGGCGTGATTCCAGATGTGTTTGATTGGTGGCCGCACGCCTTCGCAGAGCCCAGCTTGCCGAAGAGGGGCCAGTCCTCAGTCAGTGAAAAAAGGCACAGCGCTTGAATGCAGCCAAGCATAAAACACATTTTTGAACATCAAGTCGCATCTCCTTGATGCTGCAGCTCCTTTCAGGAGTACTGACCAGGCTGCTCGACCATCGACAGAATCCCGTGAAACTCAAGTCCGGCTAATCACCATGATCACTCTAGTGTGACAACGGCACCATCACCTGCAGCACAAGCCAATTTGGACTTTGAGTCTGCCTGAACCCACAAACAAACTAAACAGAAAAATCGGATTGGGTCTCCTCTAGCCTGACGTAGACGACGTCTCGTCCGAGCACTGCGACTTTGGCATATCCCTGAGACCGAACCACAGCGGCCAAAGGCAAACACAATGAAACAGTCCGTTATCTTGCACAGTTTGCAAAGTCTCCTTCGGCAGCAGGATTGAGTCCACCTGGAAAGGCTCAAGAATGAAGGTCCGCTACTCAAGGATGCGGACCTACGAAGCCTCCAGCCATCGAGCTCCTCGTGTCACTTCAACGACCTTGGACACTTGGCTCCAACACACTCTTGCTCTTCCTGCTCGGTGTCTGTTTCTTCGGCCCCCTGCGATAATGCGGATATCAAACTCTTCGAAGGACAGACCCCTCAAAACTGCCAACTCCTGACACGCAAACAATGCTTCTGCGCCGATAGGTGCATCCAGTCTCCAACTTTTCAATTTTCTACACCCGGCACGAGCTTGTTGAAACCGACCTGATGTTCGACGTCGATGCTGAGCAGGTCGATGCGCCGGCCAGACAGCCCACCTTCACGTAAAATCTCGGTCAGCGTCAGGCAGTCCTCTCGTCTGCAAGGCTGACCGGGGCTTGGGGTCGGTCAGGCTGCTCGCAAATACAATAAATACAATATTACGATCTTGAATGGCATGCCGATGATGATGCGGCTCAAGTGTTGGCCATCTCCGTCTTTCAGCAGTGAAAATTGTTGGCAAAGCACAGATTACAGATATTACAGGGAAGATTCGAGGATTCGGATAGATGGTTTGCCCCAGTCCGCATGGAACTCCACTTTGCCGTCCCGGTCAGCAAAGGGCCGCCCAGTGAGGCCAGCCTGTGGCTCGAGCATCTCCGAGCCATGTCTACTGGGAAACTATGCAGAATGCAGGACTCCTCGTCAACGCAATTCCTCACAAGTCTTTCGCATGGACCAGAAGGCGCGCTATGCGCCGCTTTAGTTTGCAGCAGTGCAGTCAAGGCTCGTAAAGACTTGGCAGGATCGGTAAGCCTGCGGCATGAATGCAGTTTCTTCAAAGATGATAAAAGATGATCGGAGTCAGACGGCCCACGGCCTCGAGAATAAAGCTAAGTTGAGGGTTGGGCTCAACGCAAAGCCCCTGCCAGCCAAGGCAACGGTCCAGCATCACCTAAATCGCGCAATGAAAAAGACGTGAGAATGAACAAAGACATGAGGATGTCTACCTGGAAACCCTAGATGCACTAAATCCGGTTTTATAAACCTGCTGTAAAGCCTCAAGAACGCAAGTGCAGATCTTCATCAAACAACTAAGGCACCGTGTTGCTGTAGTCAAAGGGAAGAGATGCCCCGACATCCACGTAAATGCCGTTCGCATCAAGGCCCAGAAAGTTTCGGAGAATGAACCAGTCTTGGCCTGCAGATCAAGCGTTCAGCGGCCTGTGGAAGCCCTTGACTTTGGAGGCTCTGGGGCGCAGCCAGGCGGCCAAACTCGGAGATCGAGGCGTTCGAGCCCTGCTCTGTTCGAAACTCATCGCAGCGAAGCTCCAACACGTTGGGATCTTGAAGAATGCTTTTGAGGACTCTGGAGGCCTCGGCATGGTGCAAACGTCGCTTGCCCTCCAGCTCCCTATTGCAGCGGCGACACACAGATCCTGCCGAGGCAATACCCCCGCATCATGAGGTACGTTCGCTCCCAGAACGTGTTGAGATGAGCACATGCTGGGCTGGCAACCTTCACAGGCTGAGCAGGCTCACTGAGTCTATAGTCTATATATAGGCAACCCTGCGAGAAACCTTTGTAGCCAACCTGTTCAGCGATGTCGCAACTGACGAAGCGCAGAAGTCAAACATAAGAGCGGTTGGGTTTTGGAGCTTGCTGGGAGTGGCAGAGGCATGCAGCGGCGCTTTCCGTTAAATTTTGGAGCTTTGACCTCCTTCAAAATCATCTTTACGGGCCAGATTGGGCCAGCTGAATGTGCTGAATGTCCGCCGGAAGCCACAGGCTCAGTCGTCCTTGGGGGGGTCCAAGTACCCTCCCTCTCTCCAGCTCCCTTGGGTGCGACTGCTGTCAATCTGCATACCCTGCATACCCCGGGCCCCACGCCCCTCATCCCCGCCTCCTCTCTCCAGCTCCCTCGGGTGCGACTGCTGGCAATCAGCATGAGTGAGCACTATCGTGGTCAGCCGAACCTTGCAACGCTTGCACTCGCCTCATGTTTTTACATTGCGACGTTGCCGGTGGTCCGGCAAGCCGAGGTGGGCGGCGTAGCATTAGCATCATGAATCTGCATTTGTATGGCTGCATCATCTGTGCGCTGTGCTAAAGTGTTTGCTTCTTCAACGATACGACAAAGCAAACCTTGCGGGGCCATGAGATGTTGGATTCTCGGAAAACGACCCCATCGCTGCGATGTCGGCTTGACGGCTTGCACGGATCCACTCCGTGGAGCTGACAAGAAATCAACACGCGTCAACATGCGGATTGGACAGAACATGCGACATGACACTGACGAGGGGTTGCTGGCAGTCTCTGTACCTTACCCATCCCTGCAGATTCGACACTCATGTTGCACCCGCAGACCCAGGGCCTCTGTGGTCTCGCTAATGCACTCATCGGATGCCCAGATGGTCACCACATGGCTGCCTACCCGGTCCATCATGCGCTCCAGGGTGAAGCGCGTAGAGACTTTGGAGAACAGCACGAGGTCGCAAATACCGCCATGTTCCTGACAGGTTGTTTCATTGTGTGCAGCGGCCACTCTGTTGCCCTGCTCTGGCCTGCTCCGTCCGCGACATCGGTAGCGGCGGCCTCTGCCATTTCCCATGGCCTCCAGCAAGCCGCACGCGTCTCCCAAAGCGACGCTGCAACTCGGAGGCCAGCGCCAACCTCAGCTCGGAAAGCCCCGGCACCGGTACGGGCAAAACTTGCGACATCTACGAGCCGAATGTTCTCGGCAAGCATCATTCCTCCTCCCGAGTCTAGCACATCGATGATTTCCAGCTCCTGCGGACTACGACCAACAAAGACTTGAGCATGCGCTTCAACGCACTCCCTTTCTGCCCAGCTCAGAAGGGCTCCCAACAGGTTTGTGAAAATGCAGAGACATGTTCAGCAGTCAAAATTCAAGAACTTCTTTCAAGACATTTGCGCCGTAAGTAAGAAAATACGAGTAGAAAACTGGCACTACACGGCTAGCAACACATTGCTTGCAAATGATAATTTTCTACTACCTGCCGGCCGTCTCCCCGGCAATCGCAACAGATGACACCCTGCGTAGTTGAACCGAAATGGATTGCTTGCTATTGATTGCTGTTGTGCTTCCCTTCGTGTTTTCCTACTGTCGTGCTTCCCTGACCATAGCCGAACATCCACGCAAGAGTGACTGGGCAAACATCAACCCTCAGCTTCCTAGCCGAGCTTCGTCGATGAATGTCGATATCAAGATCCCAGTCGTTAGGGGCAACCGTCTTTTCTAGGCTCCAATATGCTCCAATCCAGCCTCTTTATCGAAGTTTCTGCGAGCCGAAGAAGTCTCGTTGCCTGCCCCATCCCCCCCGCCCCCGCCCCCGCCCAAACCATTGGTCTGCGTTTGTACTAACAGATGTACCAAAAGGCAGTGAGGTGGCAATCAATCTCCGAGACCGGAAAGGACCACATAAAGAGTGCTTCATGGCATGCAACACCCTTCTGACGACTGTAAATTGTAAACGGCATATTGCTCGCCTCTCCCCACGATCGCTGTGTCTCCTGCCAGCTTCTAGGACACCGGGCCCTGCCACAGTCTGCCATTCCGTGGCATGTGGAATCGCACACCAGAAAGCGAGGGAACCGAGCAAGAAACACACAAGCAGCAATACAGTACGGGCAGAGACACAGCTGGCTAGTCCGACAACCAACAAAACATCTCAAAGAAACTTACGTAATTTAAGAAACAACAGTTGGAAGTGACAAGAGGAAAGAAATTGTCCTCTCAGACCTTGCAACTGTGCCTTGATCCCCGTAACAATGGCACTGGCTCTCCCCCCGAACCTGACGGCCATGATGGCCATGATTGCAAGTGCTCGTAACGTCTGATCGTACTCGCCAGTCTAAGCACCTGGAATCACTGGACCCAAACTTTACTCCTCGAGAGGAGGGTCTGCGAAGCTCAGCATCCAGTCGGCCACGTCGAAGGTGGCAGGGCTCACGCCAAACTGGCATGCTCGTCTGATGGCGGGTGCCTCGCCCTGCAACAGATAGCCGTAGAAAAAGAAGTGGGACAGAGAGCGAGAGAGAGCGAAACATGCTGTCAAATGCGGCAAAGCAATGCTCGAATGAACAGAGGCTGATGATTCAGGATGATGCAATTCTGTCCTTTCTTTTCGGGTCTCGCCTGCGACACGTTGCGCGACTGCTGATTGATCACCACCATGCTCCAAAGATGCTGGAACTCGGCCCTCAACCCATCGTCTTGTACCACGTCCAGGGATGAAGTGAGGAACACCACAAATGCCGCCAAGCGCCACATTGCTGCAATTGTTCATGAGAGAACAACGTCGACTTGCATACTCTTTGTTTCTCCACTGGTAGGGCTCTAGGGCTACTCGATCGCTCTCTCTGGCTATCGCCCTGTCTTTCGATGCGTGAGAGGACTCTGTGCGGCATTCGCTCTCTCTCTCTCTCTCTCTCTGTCTTGCTCTCTCTCCTCATGAAATGCCACTTTATGCGAACCAACTTGTGCTTCACGTCAGCTGCTGAAATGCTAGCTCCACTGCTGTGGTGATTGTCTGGCAGCGGAAGCAGGAAGCCCTGGTTAAAGCCTTATGCACAAGGCGAACAGGGCTGCAAGCAGATTCTGCGTCATGGTCCGTTCGCGGTCCGTGCAGAGAAGTGGCCACACTGCTTTTGCTCTCGGGTCATGCGCTGCCTGCCTTCGGCGGCTTGTGGGGCTCGTCTTTGCCCTTTGAGACCTGGAGCCTTGTCATAGCAGCGAGCTTGGCCGCACGCCTGAGCCTCAAAAACCAAAGCACTTCTCGGAGCTCCGGCTACGGATGCTGTGGCTCGCACTGCTGCTGTCTGTCAATTCCACGGTCCATCCTTCCAGTGTCCACAGACACAGGCCGACGGGAGTGTTTCCGCTTGCCATTTCTGTCCTTGAACTTGACGAAGCATCGGCCTGATGGCGCATTGCCTCTGCCTTGATCGATTGCTGAGACGGACCTCGCAGGCAATCAGCATCTTCTCGAACCATGTCTGAACATGTCACTGTCTGAACAAACAGAAACATGTGAATAAATCAGAAGGACCACAGTGGACCGCACTTGCCAACTTGCCGAGCCATTGGGATGGCAATAGCATAGCCTTCTTGCCCGCACCAGCAGTTTCAAGCCGATCTGACATGCTTTCCGGTGCCGTTCCCGTCGCCCAGCATGCCGCCACTGTAGGGTCGGGAAATGCAGCCAAGCACTGGGCAAGGCTAGGGACAAGAGGTCCTCAAAGAGGTCTCGTGCTCGATCTCCACACCTTTTCGGAATTGCCTTTGGCGCAGTGTTGATCCGAGCGAGCCCTTGTCGACTTGATTTGTTGGATCTGTGATGTGACTGTTAAGCCTGCATCTTAGGATTGGGACGGTGATGCAGGTGACTGGGCTGCAACAGTTGGTCGTGTCGGGGAAGCTCTGCCACCCTGTAGCGACACTCACCGGCATGAACATTCCGTGCACAAACCTATAACCCTAAGAAACCCAAGTCCCCATACTGCCATGAAAAAGTCCCCAAGCCTGAAGCCCCACCGGTAAGCCGCCAACCCTGAGGCCACAACGCAACCTCCACGCAAGTCCCTTGTAATCCTACCACTTCACGGACGCATCCGGGCACAGGGATAACTGCCTCTTGTATTCTCACCTGGCCTGTAAACGCTTTCCTTGAGGAAGCCTACCAAACCTTTCCAACTCTGCAGACACCTCATCACATCGAACGGCTTCAGACATGACAACGATTCCGACTTGCTACGGTTTGGCCGATCCGCAAGAATCGGCTGGCACTGGGTGTACCACACAAGCACAGCATTCTTGTAATCGCCCTTTTCCATAGCGAGCAGCAACTTGGCGCTCAATCTGACATGAGCTGTTCCTTTTCTGTAGGAAACCAGAACTCCGCTGTTGTTTTGGCAGGATATGTGATGGGGTTCCCTTCATGTGGCCTCCTGTCGCAGCCGTTCTCCCTTCATGTGGGACCGGTGCGGTGTACTGCCTGTTTTTTACGCTTCTCTCCCCATTTCGGACCGGTGGAGGTCGCCAATGCTGAGTTGTCTCCCCCGCCCAAAGTGGGTCGCCAGGAATGCGATCCCTGGCTGACCCGTAATGACTCTTTGGTTGAAATGCACGCCTGATGCAGCTTGACGAGATAACCAATCAAAGCGCTGAACTGAGCTGCAAAGCCAGGTCAGCTGGAAGTGGTCCCACAATCGTGTGTAGACACGGTTTCAAGCTGCGGCAAACGGAGCATGTTTGGGATGCTGTGTGTCCAGCACAACATTGCACCCGCCCTGGCTCATTGAAATGCCGAATGCCACAGGCTCCACAAAGCAGGGCCTCTCCAAGACCGTCAAGCAGCAACCACGCACATTAGTCACTAGTCATTACTAATCAACGCCTACCACAGTTATGGGACTTCAATCTGTACAGTTACAGGCGCGGAAGGAGGAACCGCGTCTCTCCTCCTTGCAACACCCACAACTCCTGGCGATGGTTGCCGCCAGCGTCGGGATTCTTGTCTGGGAAAACATGGGAAACCCCTGCATCCAGCTTGCTCTGCTTAGAGGATCACGAAGACCACGCACTGAATACAGAACGACATGATGGGGGCACAGCCGTGGAGTCACCAACGAGGCTCCGACGCTTTGACTTCTTCGTCTGAGCGGCCCAGGAAAGTCTTTAAGTCCAGAAGTCGGCTTTCACCTGGCCTCGGTGTCCTCGTACTCTGCCAGTTCGTTGAGGGGCAACCGCCTAAGTAATGCTCAGCCGCCGAAGTCATGCTTGATCGCAGCTCTTTTCGAAAAACGCAGCTGTTGTCGCAAGGTAGGCTTCGGCACTCCATCATGTCGACGACCATCGATTGTTTGACCCCCTGTTGAAATGCAGTGGCACGAAGTCATGCGCTAACCAGAAAGAGGGAAAAAAAAAAAAACGTCACCTCCATGAGGATGCCCATGGGGATCGCCTAAGAGCATCTCAAAGCGCTGTCTGCAAGAAGCACAAACTTCTCCTGTGTACGTCTCGAAACCAAGCAATGCCTGCTCTCGTCTTTTGCGAGCTGAGGTCCGAGCAAAACCCATGGTGCCTGAGCGATCGTGCTGCATTCCTTTGGGCCCTCCAAGCGAATCTGAGAGCAGTTTTCCACAGATAGGGCGCTGACCAAAAAGAGCTGTGCATATGCAGACCTCGCAGCATGGCCAGGGCAATGTCACTCCGAGGTTCCCAGTCTCAAGATATCAAGCAGCCGGATTGCTGAATGCCATGCAGCCGCACAAAGCGTGCACTTCACATCCACTGTATCAGAGCTGAGGCGGGGGCTCGTGACCCAGCTCCTGGAGAAAAGTCTGCCAGGGTCCACTCTCCTGGCCAAGCTAATTGACCAGAAATTGCAAACAGTTTGTATCAGCATTGCTTTGGTTCGACGGGACTGCTTGTGCACATTGTCCTATAAGGAAGGAAGAGGTCCAGTACATGGACGAGGGCACCGATGCAAAGAAGACCTGCGCCGCGGAATCGACAGTACACTGCTTCGGCAGGCTTGAAGCTAAGCCGAAGCGATACCTGGGAGGGTGATTTCCAGGAGTTCTCCGTGAAAACGAAGAGGCTCGAGATCACCACCCAGATTTGAAGCGACATGAACACCGGCACCTCCGCACTACCGGAAGTACGCACACTTATACACGGGCCCAGAGCTCCCGCAGAGCTTCTACGCGTACTGCATGTAGGAGAAGCAAAAAATGGCCCGGAAAGGAAGCTGCTCTAGCAGCGATGTGCACGTCCGCACTCTGTCTCCGTCGAAACTCCGTCGAATGACGTCTCTACGTGTTGGTCGTCTCATATGTCTCATATGTCTCGAGTTGTTTGTGCAAGTTGTAACCGAACGAATAACGCACAGACTGTGCATCGGGCTCCCACGACATCAACCACCACCGACTACTGACTGGTTGTTGTTCGTGAATTCGGGGAACAACAACCCCCCCCACCCCGTGGGCGGGGAGGGGGGGGGAAGAATAACAAGGGGGGGGGAGGGGTTGTTGTTGTTCGAA